TAGATTCTCTTTCTGAATTGTCTGAAGATGTTAAAAGTGAGGCAAATGAAGGATTACTCGAATTGAATAAATTGAGAAATAAAGCTTGTTGTCAACCTTTGGATAAACATCAAAGCTCTCTTGACGTTATTACAAGGTTTTGAATTTTATATTTAATTTTGAAATGATCAGATAGAGCCGGTGATGGGACGGTTTCTCGAAGCCCGGAACCCGGACTTTTTTGAGGGATAAGTACCCGATCGTATGGGTTTTGAGTCCTTTTTTTGTTTAAATGCCCCAACAACATCTTGTAATATTTCTGAAGTTGAAAATTATTTCTAAATTAATTTCATATCATTTACAGATACTATGACCAACTTTGTGCAATTGAAGCAAAATTGCCAATTACACCAACTCTGAATCCAATCAGTTTTAAATGGAAAGATGCTTTTGGGAAGAGTTCATTATTCTTTTCTAAAGCTTCTCTAAGTTTGTTTATTTTTAAAATTTATTTTTGATAAAAAAAATTTTAGCGTTAAATGACAGTTCTTTTGAAAGAGCTTGTGTTTTATTTAATTGTGGCGCTTTAATGTCAAATATTGCAGCTTCACAACAAATGCATTCGGATGAAGAATTGAAGGGTGTTGCTAAAATGTTTCAACTATCAGCTGGGATTTTTTCAAAATTGAAGGATTCTGTTTTTGGATTGGTAAAATTTTTTGTTAACTTTTTTATTTTTATACTTTCCATTTTTTAGGTCCAGCAAGAGCCAACACCTGATCTTAGTCCAGATGCTTTATCTTCACTTTCCTTGTTAATGGTTGCACAAGCACAGGAGTCTGTTTATATTAAAGCTTCTAGAGGTTTTTAGTTTTCATTTTTCGATAACTGAAATAAATTTTTAGATAAGATGAAACCAAGTTCCTTGCTTAAAATTGCAGCACAATGTAGTGAGATGTATAGTGAGGCTCTTAAATTTATGTGCAAAGATAGTGTCAAAGGAATGTGGGATAAGTTTTGTTTTTTGATTTTCTACGATTAATAAATTATACGGTTATGACCGTCGGGAAATTTGTTTTTGACTATTTTGGATCTCTTTTCGCTAACGAATTTTTGATTTAATTCTCTAAAATTTCCAGGAATGGATTCCTATAGTAACTGCAAAAGGAATGGCTTTTGGTGCTTTGGCTCAATTTTATGCGGCAGAATATGCAAAGGATAACCAAACTTTTGGCGAACAAATTTCTCGACTTAAAGAAGCATCGAAATTAATGGACCAAGCAATTTCTTATTGTTCTAATGGATTTTCTGAAGAAAATGCTTTAATTAAAAAGTCGTTAGAAACTGCTGTTAAGGACAACGACTTTATTTATCATGAAAGAGTTGTTGATTTCAAATCACTTCCTCCTTTACAAAAAATTTCTTTGGCCAAACCTTCAACGATTTCTGGACCTATTTCTGCCCGCTTTAAAGACATGTTTGAATCGCTTGTGCCTGTTGCTGTTCAAAATGCTTTGGCAACTTTTGAGGCTAGAAAGAATGATGTTGTTAATATTGATGTTTCTAGAATGAGGGAATATAATCAATTAATGAATGCGTAAATATTTGATTTTTAAAAAAATTAGGGAAGTGTTTTCGAGAGAATAGAGGGGATTTTTAGGGTTTTCAAACGTCGCAAGTCTTTGGCATCCTTCATATTTTGTATTCAAAAATTTATTTTTTTTTCAAGTTGTTTGGCTTCATTAAACTTGCCTGCTGCTTTGGACGATGTAACTAAACAAGAACAATGTCCTCAATCTATTCGAGAAAAATCGGCACAAGTTAAAAATAATGGAGGAATTACGGAGTTGACGAATAAATTGAATGAATTGCCTGGTTTATATAAAAGAAACGAAGAAATTTTGAATGAGGTTTTTTGAATTTATTTGCTTACTTAATTTTTTTAATTTAAGTGTTCAAGACTGTTAAAAGATGAAAAAGAAACGGATGAAAATCTCCGTAAACAATTTACTACAAAATGGACTCGAATGCCTTCTGAAAATTTGACACCGCCTTTTTTGCAAGAATTGGGAAAATTTAGGGGAATTTTACAAACAGCAGCTAATGCTGATGTTAGCGTTAGAAGTAAATTTGAGCAAAACAAGAGAGGAATGGAATTGCTTAGTTTAACCGAGGTTTTTTTGATTTTTATTTCTGATGGTTAGACTAGTCCGAACAGGGAATGGTTGCGTTCTCAATGTTTGTTTCGGATTGGGTTATGGGTCAAAAAGAAAGTTTCCCTTATCCTAACCTTTAATTAAATTAAAAAAATTATTTCCTAGAATGACTTAAAATTATCAATTCCTGGTATCGGAACTTATCAAGGTGGAGCATCTAATTCTGAAACAGTTCAAAAATTGCGAAATTTAATGAATCAGGTTCAAGAAATTAAAGTTGAAAGGGAAGAAATTGAAAAAGAATTGAAAAAGGTTTGAATAATTATTCTAAATATAAAAATTAGAAAAAAAATCTTTAAAGATTCGTTGTGATATGAGCAATGATTTTTCTAAAGCTTTGGCAGAGTCTGGTGTGGTTGATGAACAAAAATTAAGTTCTGACAAAATTTTGAATTTATTCAAGCCTTTACGTGACAAAGTAGAATCTTCAATTAAAAGGCAAGATTCTGTTATGGAACAAGTTCAATTATGGCATAAAAAGTTTCATGAAGAACGCCAAACAACTGGGGGTGCTGAACGTGAAAATTTTCTGAAAGGATTGGCGACTGCTTATGATGCTTTTTTTAGACTTCAAGGGGATTTGAACGAAGGAACTAAGGTTTTCTTTGTTAATTTTTTGGTCTAAATTTTTTTTATTTTTCAGTTTTACAATGATCTTACACCAATTTTGGTTCGACTTCAGCAGAAAATTTCTGGTTTAATTTTTTAATTTTATTTTTATAATACTTTTTTTATTAGATTTTTGTTTTGCTCGTCAAACGGAAAAGGAAGATTTGATGAAACAAGTCCAACAAAATATTGTCTCTGGTAATGAAACTACGGGCAAAAGTGCTCCACCTCCTCGTCCACCACCACCAGTACCGCCCCCAGTTACTCAAACATATCAGAATCAAAGTTTCTTTTTATTTTTCATTAAACAATTTTAATTTTTTAGCTCCAATTCCCCAAATGCATCCGCAACCACAAATGGGTATGCAACAGCAACAGCCACCACAGTATTCATATCAACAACCTCCGAATCCGTACATGCCATATGGTTTTTACAATTTAATTTTTATGTGAGAATTTATTTTTTAGCTCCATATCCTTATGGTGTTCAGCCGCAGCAACAGCAGGCTCAAATGGGAGGTTATAATACTCCTTATCCTGTTCAATATCCGGTTATTTTTAGATTTTTAAAAATTAAAAAAAATTTTTAATTTAGGGGACTTATCCAGGCGCTTTTCCGCAACAACAATTTGGTGCCTTTCCTCCACCACCTGCTTTTAATCAACAGCAGCAACAGCCTTCTAACAATCCAACTAATCCGTTTCAATAAATAAGAAGAGGGATATGTTAAGAACATTTAAAAATATGATTAAATGTGTGTGTATTTGATCTTAATTTTATATACTACGCAGACTTTAAGAAAAGTTTTTTTATTGGATTTAGCTTTCTACTTATGTATAAATAAAATTAATTTTGATTATGTTTTTGTTTATATTTAACATAAATTTGGAATTTTTATATCTTTTTATCTTTCTCATTTTTAGTCTTTACGCAAATGTCGTTGTCTGAAACTCGGACTGCTTTGACCCGAAACCCGACTCGAGAAATTTTCGAAGCCCGATAACTTACTATTTTCTCAATCCACGACCGTTTCAAACATACTAAAAATGCCTTTTTTTCAAATTTAGATCTTTTAACGATTTCAATATGTTAGCAGCAACTGCTGTAAATACTGCTGTATTTTCAACCTTACTCTTTAATCGTAATTTACTTCAAACATCAACTAAATTATTAGTTAATCAAAACAACTTGAAGATGGCAAGTGTTAGAAATTTAGTTGCTGAAAGTGCTACAAAGAATTTAGAACATGATAAACTTTTTAAACGAATTGATTTGGAATTGAGAGGCCATGATCCTGAAGTTCTTTCTTCCTATACTACGTTTGTTAGCGTTAGTTTTAATATTTTTTTTAATTTTTTGATGATTTTAATTTTACTGTTAGTGGGGGGTCTTGTGTTAGATAAAAGGAATTTTAGAACGAGAAAGGAAACGAAACAAATTTCGGCCGGCTCTTCTTGTGATAACTTCTCTCCTTAGGATGGCTGGGATTACGAACCCTGTTTAGAAGATATTCCTCCCATGGTTAACTTCTTGGAAAAGTCAAAATCCCTTGCACAATTTTTTACATTTTTGGTTATAAATCAAACACAATTTATTTAAATATAATTTTTACTAAAATTCTAGAATGTCTGCGATCATTTGGAAATAGAAAAATCTCAAGTAACAGAAACTCCTCATCTTAAATGGCTTTTAACAACATTAAAAGATAAATTTGCAAAAAAGAAATATAAAGTTCAATATGAAGTACGGACATATATTAGATTTATGCATGTCAAATATTTAACTGGAAGTACTGCAAGTACTTTTCTTGAATATATTGAAAGAAATATTCCTGAAGGAGTGGCTATGAAAGTTACATATACAGAAATTTGTAATTTACCAAAGACGATAACTTCAAATTCAACAAATTCTTCTCCTCAATCTTTACAATAAATTTAGAAAATTGTTTTTTTTGTTAGTTTCATTGAGGTTTTCTTTTTTTGTTTGTTTTATTATTTTTTTTCTTTTTGGATAAACTTTGGCAAAATAATTTATAAAAATTCTAGCTCAACTGATTTTTTTATCGTTCATACATATATCTTTTTATTTTTCTTTTATTTTTTACTAGAGGTCAGCAATAGGGGTTTGCCGTGACAGATTTTAATAGACGAATGGCGTATTTTCTGGATCCTGAGGAGTGAATAACTTTTAAGAAAAGTATTGGGGAGTTACACTTGCGGGAATAAACCTCCAAAATCCCTCACTTCAACAAAATCCTGTGCGGATTCTTGTCCCGCGCCGACCTCTAATTGCATATTTATCTTTTTACTTTTTCTATTTTTAAGGCATGTGAAATTTTTTTTTAAACAAAATTCCCAAATTATGATTATTCTGTTCTACAAGTTTGCACTAATATTTGTTTATTGTTATGCTGAAGTTTCTCATTCAAATAAAAATTCTTTTGATAAATCAACCCCAGATACTTTGAGCAATAAAAAGGAGGAACTAAATGTGAATTCTTTTTATAAAGAATGTAGGTTTGTTGATTTTTTAATTTTTTTTACGGATTTTTACCTAATTTTTCGTGGTTCGCGTCCCAAATCTGGATTTTTTCGTGGTCGCCGGATTACTTCAGGCCCAAATCCGACTAAAAAATTCTGCCGGGTCCGGTCCTGCTCTAATTACAAAACCTGACCCGACTCAGAAAAGATATATTTTAGATCCTTTACTATTAAAAATCAAAAAACGTGAACAAGAAGCAGCTTTAAGAACTATTTTGACCAAAAACAAGGATGAAAAACAATTGATGCTTCGACAACTTTTTGTTCGTATCTTTGAAACAATTAAAGAATCTAAACAATTATTATTTAAATACAACGAAAATGAAGAGGGGGATTTTACTAAATTGGCAACAGATAAAGAATCTCGTGAACATTTTGCTAGAATTGTTGAAAATACAATTTTTCTTGCTGGATTGACTTTGTATTTTCCCAAATATGCTTTATATTATGTTAACAAAGATGTGAATTTTCATCAAATTTATTCATGGTCAAACAACTTTTGTTCGAATTTGACATTTTTGGATTTAGAGTATTTTTTTTCTAATTTAAAAAAATATTAAAAAAAAATTTTTTTCAGAACAAAAGAATTGCTCAATTTGGCTGCTCAAGAAATTGAAATAATTCCAAAATCTGAAAACTTCTTCAATCCTTACAAAGATATTTCAAGTTTAACAGAAAAGGAAGAAATGCAACGTGAAGCTCTTAAAGAAATGAAAGAAAGAGAAATGGCAAAGAAAATGGAAAAATCAAATAAACCAAAAAAGAAGAAAAATAATAAAAGTGATTCAATGAAGAGTGAATTGTGAAACTGCTATAAGTTTTTTTTGTTTTTAGGTTGGATTTTTTAACGAGAATCAAGGTTATATTCAACAGAGAATCTAAGGTTATTCTCCGTTGAAAAATTTTTCTGAGAAAATTTTTGATTTGTTTTTGGTTTTCCGAATCCAAAAATCGAGAATAATTCCGCAATTTTAATGTTCCCGAGTTTTCCTTACAGTTCCTGAAATCATTTTCCGGATTGGTACAACACCTGTTTAATTCACTTAATTTTTTTGTAAATAAATTTTTAATATACATAAATTAAATGCTATAAATAAATTATTTTCCTTATTTTTTTAAATTTAATATTGTTTTTAAAATACAATCATTACTTTAATTCTATTTTTTAGAAAATTTTTTTTCCTTTATATATGTTTACTGCGCCTTCATTAACATTAAAAATGCTTCAAAAACGTCTAAAAAATGGAGAACTTGATTTAAGTTCTCTACGTTTAGAAACAGTTCCAATTGAATTAATTTGTCGTTGTGTTAATTTTGGAGGAGAAAAACACAAAAAAATTAAAGAAATTAATTTAAGCAATAATTTATTGACAGAATTGCCTCAACAATTTTGTGCTTTCTTTTCGGAACTTGAAGTTTTGAATTTGGGCAATAATAAAATTAAAACGTTACCTGAAGATTTTGGAAGTTTATCGTCTTTATATCATTTGAATTTGTCAAATAACAGGATTAAGGTTTGGAAAATTTTTTTCTGAAAAAATTTAAAAAAATTTCCGATAAGGTAGGGTAACGGGAAATTTGGGTAGAAGGTTAAAAATCCAAAAAATTTTTTAAAGAAACTCCCAGCAAGTTTTGGTGATTTGGATATTCTAAAATGGCTAAATTTGGCTAACAATCCTTTGGATGGAGATTTGGCAGAAATTATTGGAGAATGTTTGGATGATTATCAATGCACAACTGCTGCTGTTAATGGTTTGTTTTTGAAAAACTTTTTCAAAAATATTTCTAATTTTAGCTGTTCAATATGTTGGCTTTTCTTATGCCCATTCAGCAGAATCTACGGCAATAATTGACGATTCTAGTGATATTGCTCCAACAAATGAATCTTCTTCGAATAATTCTAGTCCTGACTTTAAAGGTTTTTTCTTTGTAAAATTTTTAAAAGAATTTCTTTTATTTTTAAGAAATTGAACATGTACACAAGCGTAAAAAATTTAGAAAAATGACAACATTGTCAAAATCAGAAAGCAAGTCAATTGAAAAACATAAAACTGAAGAAGACGAGGACGGATTTGACTCTTATTTTTATGGGAAATTTGTGATGTGTAAGGATATTTTTTAGTTTATTTTTAGGGTAGCTTTTGGGTTTGGGATCCTACGGTTTGAGAAAAGTGGCAGGATTTTGGATCAGGGTTTCGAAAATTTTATCGGGTCGGACTCGTGATATCCCTATCCTGGTTAACAATAGGTTGGTAGGCAATTTTTTTTGGTCAGCAATTTTTAAGCTGCAAATTAGTGTTTCGAGTCCTGATTATTTTAGACCTTATTTATTCGTTCTATTGTCTTTAATCTTTCCTTTTTCCAGTTTTCTTTTTTGCCTTTTTAATTGCTTTGGGAACTTCACTTTGGCTTACATTTGATTCAATGCGTGAAAATTATTTAAATGAAGATTTGTCCAAAAATGTAGAAAATATTCAAAATTTAGAAGAATTACAGCAATTTCGTTTTTGTTTAGAAATTAACAAAATGTTGAAAAAAGGAGAACCTCCAAATTCTTGGAAACAATTTTTACTAGATTTTTATTTTACTTTCAAAAATGCTTGGGGAAGAAATGTTGCTGATAAAATTGAGGAGAAAATTAAATCACTAAATATTTGCTGGTATGAATTTTTTTTATTTTTTGAAAATTTGTGGAAGTTTTTAAGGATATTTTTTGGAAAATTTAAGAAAAAAAATTTTTTTTTATTTTTTGGAATTTTTTAAAAATTTTTGAAATTTTTTTTAATTAAAGAAAAATGTTTTTAATTTTTTTTTAAATTTTTTAGTTGGACAAATAGTTTAATTAAATGGATTAAAATTGTTTGGCAATTATTATTCCAACCAATATTTGTTTTCTTTACTGATTATTTTATTTATGTTTGGGACTTTTTTATACTTCCAATGATTAAAAGTTTTGGTTTTTAAAGAAGAGAATATTGAGAGAGAAAAATAAAGAATTTATTTAATAAAGAATAATATTAATTTTTAGTTTTGCCTACTAGACTTGAGAGATTTTTGATTTTTAAATGAGAGCTTGATTATTTAAAAATTGGCAAAAATGAATAAGTAGCTTTTAAATTTTAGAGAAATTTTTAGAATTTTTTAAGGTTTATTTAAAAGGGGTTTTTAGAACATTTTTTAATAATTAATTAAAAATTAAAAAAATTTTTTTAGAAAATTTTTAAGAGAAAAATTTAAAAAAGAATTTTAAAAATTTAAATAAAATATCCAAAAATCCCCTTTAAAAATAAATTTAGAATTGATATCTCTTTTTGCTCGTTTTTGTCAATTTTTTGTTTTAAAATCCACAGACTGACCGACAATCAAATTTTTTATGAATAAAATTTTTTAAATTTGAAATTTTTTTATTTTAACATTTTAGGATTTAAAAAAATCCATTTATTTATTTTTGAATATTTCTTGGATTTTTAATTTATTTGTAATATTTATTAACTTTAATCACGCAATCCTTAAAAAATATCATATTTGCATGTCTTTTTTCAATTCATTTATTTTTTCCTTCTATTTATCTTCATCATCATTTTTTCTTCTCATTTATTATTTCTTCTTTAATATATCCATTACAGAAATTACAAACAAACAAACAAGCAAACATTCTTTTTTGGACATTAAATATTTATTTAGATTTTTTTTTGAGGGAAGGAGGGGAAAGGATTGAGTTGGTTGGTTGGTAGTTGGTGGTTAGTTCTTTTAAAGCTTTACATCTGTTTTAAATGTTAACAAGAAGCAGTTTTTTAAGGATATAAAAAATGGGGTTAAGAGGATGTGAACTATACATATAAGCTTTTCGTTTTTTTTAACAGAGCAAAGATACGAGAAAGAAAAAAGGGTTTTTTTGAATTTTTAATTTTAGGAGGAATTTAGGGCAGAAATTTTTAAAGTTTCTCTAGAAAAAAAATTTTTTTCGGTGGGGAAAAAGGTTGGGAGATTGTTGTAGTAGTACAAACATAATAAACAGAAAATTCAACAAAATTCAGTGAAAAATTATTTTAAATTTTCTCTAGGAATTTCTAATTTTCTCTACAATAAAATAGGCTAAAGATTTTTTTAATTATTTGCCTTGTTATTATGAAACCCTTTTTTTATTAAAAAAATTATCACACTTTTTAACATTTGGCTTCTAACTATTTTTATTATCAAACCCTCCCTTGTATTTTACAAATTATTCGTATTATTTTTCATTTTCTAATTTTTTAAGGATTCTTTTTTCTTCCCTTTATTTATTTATTAAAAAATCTTTAAAAAAATTTTTATTTAAAAAAAGGAATGTTTAAAAAATAATTTTATTTATTCAAGAATAGTCTAAAAATATTTCAAAATGAAGCAAAAAAATTTGTAATGCTTCCAAGAATTTGATTGACCTCCTTTTTTTCTTTTTTATTTCTGGCTGGTTTTTGTTCTTTTTTTTACATTCCTTTTTAAAATTTTTTTTATTTCCTTAACCCCCCCCCCCCTCCCTCTCATTTTCTCGTCATTCAATAATGACATGTCTCCCTACTAAAAAAGCACATTCGGCTCTTTTTTTATTGACAATTTTAATTTGAATGTTAAAATTACTCTTTTTATCAGTTGAAAAATAGAAGGAGGAAACAATTATCTTTAACTCTTCTAAAGACTACAACCGCTCTAGTCATATCCATAAATTATAACTTGAACTAACTCGCTTTTTCTTGGTAATTTATTTTTCAAGTTTTCGGTATTTAGTAGACCATCACTAATTTTTTTCTTCCTTGTTGTCTACAAAATTTTTTTTTGAATTTAATTTTATAATTTTCTGTTTATTAAAGCTTTGTTTCTTCCAAATACGTTTTAGAAAATCTTTGGGAAAGTTCATCAAAAATCTTTTGAAAATATAATTTTCTAGACCTTACCATAAGCCTCCACTACCTTTTTTGTTTACTTTTTATCTACAATTTTTTGAATTTAATTTTATAATTTTTTATTGAAGCTTTTTTTCTTCCAAATATATTTATTTTTCTAAACTCCCTGTCCTTTGGGAAGCTTATCGACAATTTCTTGACAAAATTTTTTTCAAATATTTACCCTTTGTTTCTTCCAAACATTTAAATTACCCGGATAACTTTTATTTTTCCATCAAAACTCTTTATTTTTGGAAATTCGATTGTGTACCTCTTTTCGATTTATTATCTCATTTCAGCGGTTTTTCTTTACTTCCCAAAGGACCACCAACCAACCACTACCATTTCTTCTCTCTCTTTTTTTATTCCATTCATTTCTAAAAGCTCCCATTTAGTTTTCTCGTTTCCTTTTTTTGTTTTAACCTTTTCCTTTTTTTATTATTTTTAGGAATGTTGTTGTTTTGTGTTGTTCTTTCCCGCGTTTTCATTGATATAATCCTCCTCCCATCTCTTCCTTTATTACCAATATTCTTCCTCATTTGTTTAAACAATACCCTTACAATAATATTTTTTTATTTCCTTATCGTTGGGACAAAATGTCCTCTAAATTGTTACTTTTCCACTGTATTTTCTTTCTTTTAACTTTTCCTTTACTGTAAACAATGCGCGAGATTGTTCAAGTTGCTTCACTCATTGTGAGACAAAATGTCCTTTATTTGCTTTGGTACCTTTTTGTTCTGGACCTTTTGAATTTTTTCCATTTCGAAGTCTCGATTTCTGATTCTTAAAAATTTTTTTCTTAAATTTTCGACTTTTTTGCCCTTCGCGTTTTATTTGTTTTGCAACTGTGTTGCTTTTTTTTAAACGCTACTTTCGATGAAAGGACACAATCATTTTCAATGTTTCTTTTTTTAATTAGCTTCCTGAGACATTAAAAAATAATCTATTAATTCGTCTGTCAATTGTTTTTTAATTGCTTCCTATTTTCCTCACTTTGAGACAAAACGTCCTTTTACTGCTTCTGTACATTTTTGATTATGGGCATTTTGTCTTTTTCCATTTCGACAGTCCTGTTGTTATTGTGAGACAAACTGTCCTTTTATTGCCTTGGTACCATTTTTGTTTTGGGCCTTTTGTATTTTTTCCAATTTGAAATACCGTATTCCAGTTTGAAGTACCGTATTTTAATTTCTTAACTTTTTTTCCGAAATTTTTTCACTCTTTTGTCCTTTCGCAATTTTAGTTTTGGCACTTATTGTTTCTTTCAAATTAAAATTTTTCTAATTGCTTTTCGTTACACTTTTAAAAAAGACAAAAGATTACCTCAACAATAAGCATTTATTTTTTTTGTTTATTTTATAGGTAAATTAGGGGGGAAATTTTTTTTATTTTTTATATAGACATATGTAGTCCTCAATACAATTACAAATTGGTTGACAAGTAGAAAGGCGTCAAGTTTCAAATGACAAACCAAAAAAAATCCGGCAGCCCTTCAATAACGTTTTTTTTGTGTATATCTCTTCCCCCCACTTTTTCCCTTCCAATTTAGTGCTTATTTTTATGCTTATTTTTATGTTTGAAAGAAAAAATGTTCGGGAAAAGTTTTGGGGAAGACTTCAAAAGGGAAAATTTTTTAACAGAAAAAAGTTGTCAAAAAATATTTTAGAAAAAGCACAAATTGGAAGAACGGAAAAAGAGCTGTCTTTTATTTGTATTTTCTTTTCTTTTGTTTTTTTCTTCAAGATTCAATCGAGCGTTGAAATTACACTTTTTCTTTGCTTACTTGAATATTTAATTTTTGTTAAAATTTAAGTTCTTTCTTCGCGATCCATGTTTTCATAAATATCAAGTGTAAAACGCGTCTTTTAATTTTGCTAATTTTTTTTTAAATTTTTTAGACTATTTTAAAATTTAAATTTATAAACTCATCTACAAAATGAGTATTGGAAGTAATGATTCATCAGCATCATTATTAACAACATCGACTTTATACAAAAAACGACATCCACAATTACTAAAATTGGTGCCTGCTAGAGCTCAATCATGTGCTGATTTTAGTAGCCGATTACAATTATTGCCTTCATCAATGGCTGCCGCAGCTTGTTAGTTTTTAATTTTTTTGGAATTTTTTGAAATACTAGGCTTTAGATTTGAAAGTTTAAGTTTTTTCGATAAACTTTCTTCCAAGAATTCCTTGCCAAATTTTTCTCTTTTAATTTTAATACTTATTTTTATACTCCCAATTTTCTTCTTAAAATAAAAAATTTGAATTTATCCCACATTAATACATTAAAAACTTAATTCTACTGAAATAACTTTATTTTGTAGTTAAAAGGTATTTAACTATTTTTAACCGGCTTTTTCTCATTTTTTAGAAATCATTTTTACTCAAATATAAATTAATGAAAAATAATAATGATTATTTATCTGGATTAAAAATTTTTTTCTAATTTTTTGAGTAAAAATCTTTTTATTCTCATATTACTCTTATTTTTTAAATTACGCGCAAAGTTAAAGGACATTTATCCAACAAAAAAACAATTATTTTAACTAATCTCCATTTTCTAAAAAAATATATTAAAAAATTTTTTTCTTTATATTTTTTTTTTGAAATTTTTTTCTCCATAAAACTTTAATTTCCCAATGGAATATATTTTTATGTCTTTAAATTAGGTAATTTTTAATATATTCATTTTTGATATTCTTTTAAGAAAAACCCATGTTTCAGTTTCAATTTTTAATTAAAAAATTTTTCTGTATTTAAAGACTTGGTTCTTTCTTCATTTTTTCATTTTATATTCATTTACTAACATTTTTCTTTTATTTTCCACTGGTGGGGTTCGAACCCTCGTTACTAAACTGAGAATTATCCCGCTACACTAAAAAGTACAATTGTTGTTTTATAGTTAGTCGTAAACTTAAAAGCGCGCAAACTTAAGTGTGTGAAATAAAATTTTCTGCTAGTAAAAATGTTTTTCTAAGCCCTCCCACTTTGTAAAATTTATTTCAACTTTAATTAACATTAAAAACCCTTTATTTTTATTTTTTAAAGTGTCAGCAAAACAAATAAGAGATTCTGGTTCTTCCCCACAATTTATTCCATTTTCTCCTAACAACAGCAACAATTCAACAACAAAAATAATAAATATTCGTCCAATGTCCAATTCAACTCCATCAGCTACAACAACTACTGGTTATAATTCGTCTCCTTCATTATCTCCACAAAGAAAAGTTTCACGATCAGCACGTTTGTGCCATTCATTTAGACGAACATTGAGACGTAACAGTCCTGGAGGGAAGAAGGCGTTGGCACAAACAGGTTTTTTTTAATTAATTTGGATTTTTTTGATGACATTGGGATTAGAGACCGGAATCGAGGGTCGGGTGTGAGATTCCAAAAAATATTTATCTCGATAACTGATATTTTCGTTCGATATTTCGTCTCGGTCCTGTCTCTATTTGGGATCATCTATCTCTTATTTAATTAGAAATGTCGACAATTTTTGAAAAACAATATTAGAAATTCTTTAAAGATTAGAATTGGAACCCTCTCTAATATCGTTATTTACAGCTTTTATAATTTATTTTTAAGATTCAAATGCATCCGCACCGACCGCTCTTTTGTCTTCATTGGGAGAGCAACAACAACTACTAAATTCAGATGTAAATAAAGGCTCTCAAAACTCAGTTCTAAATGCAGTAATGAATGCAAGAACGTCAAGTTTTTCTCAACTACAACAAAAGGTTTTTTTTCAGTATTTTTTGAAAAAGATTTCATTTTTTAAAGGAATCCCGCCTTGCCTCTTCTGAAGTTTCAAAAAAAGACGATTCTGTTGAACAAACACCGGAGAAGAAGCAACAACAAAAACAACAAGCTGATGATAATCGTCGCAACAGTTCCTCGTCTCCGCTGTCTCGTTTGTTTTTTAATTTTAATTTTTAAATATTTTTTTTTAATTTTGGGGGTACGGGAAAATTTTTAAAGTTTTGAGCATCCATTTCAAAATTTTCTTTATTGGTCTTCTCCGTTTTTTATTCGCGCAACTATTTTTAGCGCATTTATTTCTCATCTCTTTCGCTCATCTCTTCCACTTTTCTTCTACAAAATTTATTTTTAAATTTTTTCTAAACATTTTTTCATTCTCTCCTCTTAATTTTTATTCATTGCTTTTATTATTTATTTAAATCTGCTTTTAAAATTCACAATCCTTCCCTCGATATTTTGGGTTTATTACTTTCTATAAGGCCAATAAATTGCCAAATTTGCCGTGAATGAGGAATAAAAGGAAGGAAGAAATTTATTTTTTTTAAGAAAAAAAGGACTGTCTTGAATACACAATTTACTTTTTTTTGTGGAGGACCTCCCCTTCCTCAATAGTAAAATATTTTTTGAATGGGAAAAGAGCAAGAAGAAAAGCATAGCGCATCAAGTGTCTAGAAAATTGCTTTGGCATTTATCGTCTTTTTTATATTTTTCTAAAATATTTTTTATTCTTTTATTTTTTACCTCATATTTTATTCATTCTTTCTTGAAACCTATAATTTTATTTTTTAAGAATAATTCTTAACTAAACAATGAATTCTTAACTAGACTCATTTTTAGATTCCCATTTTGTGATGAAAGATCACCTTGTTAGAAGCGTTATCTTGTTATGGGAATATCGTTATTAGGTAACTGTCCGCCTTTCAGTGTTTAAATTTCAAAGATAACGTATTTTAAATTTATTGTTAGGAATTCTAATTCTGAAGGTATCTTATTGTTAGATAATGGTGTTTGACTGCTAGGGCTATTCTTGTCGTTAACTCTTCAATATTAAGTTTCATTTAGAATAAGTCGAATTCTCGTTTAATTGGTAACCTCTTTCTTGGTTATTAGCTTTCTTTCTCTTTTTAGGGCTATAAATATTTTATCAATTTCTTTATTTGCTTCCAAATTTAAATCGTGAGAAATTTTTAGAGGGAAATTAAAGCCAGTTTAATATAATACTTTTTTTCCTTTTATAAATTAATTAATGAAAAAGAACATTTTTAGACTTAAATAGAACGCTAGTTTTTTAGCTAAAAATTTGGAAATTAGCTTATTGGGGTAGATTTGATACTATCTAACAGAATATTGTTATGCTTCTGACGTTTTTTAATAAACTCCAATCCCTTTTTCGAATTAATCCCTGAAATTGACAAATATTTTATTCATCTAATTTTTGTACATTTTTATTTATATTTTTTCTTAAACCTTTTATCATTTTTCTTATTTTTACTTCAAACATTTTTCTATGTTTTTTTTAAAATAATTTTATAGATTTTTAAAAAAATTATTAAAATATGCCTAATAGTTCATCAGAATTTTCCTTTGTCGATAATCTCCCCCGTCATTCCTTAACACCTTCAAATGCTGCCTCTTCCTTTTCTTCTGCAACGAAACTTGTTGGTAATAATAATAATACCGAAAATGGTTTAGCTACAGCTACAAGTCTTTTAACAACATTAACTGAATCTTCTGCTATTTTAGTTCGTCGTTTATCTAAAGCTTTTTTTCAAGCTCAGGATCGACAACGTATTGGTGGGAGTTTATTTCTTTTCTGATTAAATTTTCTTGAACATTCTTTGAATGAGTTTTTATTTTCTTTTTTTTATCTTTTTTTAAAATCCAATCATTTTTCTATTTTTTTGGAGGTTATTTTTGGGGGTTATTTGCTTTACTGTAGCTGCTTATTTAGCAATTGCGCGCCCATTTTTATTATTTTTTCTCTTTACTGTTATTGGCGCTATAGATCTTTTCTTTAACCTAAAATTTTATTAAATTTTTCTTTAAATTATTTTATTTATTTTTTCTTATTTTTGTTCTTTTAGATCCCCAATATATTTTTATAAAAATATTTCATACACAAATAAGCTATAAATAAGGAAAAAATGCTTTCATGCGGAAGTATTTCCATAAAGAAATAACAGAAAAAAATGCTAGTATATGAAAATATATCCAAGTTAAGAGAGAAAACTCCCACAGAATTATTATTTTTATTTTTTTACTTTTTGCGTCATTTGTGTTGCTACAATAAATAATAATTATTATTTTTCTTTTGGAAAGAAGGCTTATATTTGGGTTTTATTTAGCTTAAAATGGGAGTTAGGAAAGATTTTCATCTTCTACCATATATTTTTTTCTATTTTTATTATCGAATTTTAAAATTAAAATTCATCATTCTTTTTTCTTTATTTTTAAAAGATTACATATTTCAGATTCTATTTTATATGTTATTAGACATTTTATGAATTTTTATTTTTATTAAAATTTCTATTTTCAATTTTTCACCTATCACTCTTGTCCATCTTAATCTTTTATTTAATTATCTATATACCTATATATCTTCTAATTATAACTCTATCTTGATCAAAAGAATGTCTAGAAGTAGATTATCTCGCTTTATTTACTTCCTCTTTTGTAAGAATATTTAAAAAAATTTTCAATTAAATATTACGAATTTGCACCCTTGGGGGCTGTATTTGGTTCTCCATTTCACATTTTTTATTATTAAAGCCATATCTTAAAATTCATTTTTATTACTATATTTGTCCATGTTTTAGTACACAAACATTAAAAAAAATTTTTCTATTTTTTACTTTAATACTTTCACTTTTCCGTTTCCTTCTCCCAGTTTCTATGTTCATTTCCGCACTTTCCCCCTATTTTTTCATTTTTACGTTGCCATTTGAATATATTCGTACAAGCTTCTCGCTCTCATCAAATTGATTATTTTTTATAAAAAGCTGGGACCAAAAAATTGTTAGATAGAGAGAAAATACCTCTTTTTTAAAATTAAATGCATTTTCTCATCCATGCGCATTGGTGCGGCACCCTATACTTTATAATAAAATATAGTAGCTGTAGGTAATATTTAACTAGTAGCTGGTTGTTGTTTGCCTGTGCTTTTTTAGAGGCAAATGGAAGAAGCAAAAAAATTGTTAGAATTTGTCTGTGTGTGTATTATTTTCCCTTTCACTTTTTGGCATTTTTTGTGCCTTTCTTGTATATATATTTTTATTTTCTTGTGCCAGCTTTTCCTCTCATTTTTATCTTTTATTACTAGAAAATCTTAATCGATTTTTAGTTTCTTTTCATTTTCTATAATATATCTGGGTAGCTATAGGTAATATAATTTAAATAAGAAAGAGGCTTTCCAAACTAAGTTAATTCCTTGATATCCCGTTTTTAATATTAAAAATATCATTTTGATCTTATTTTAAATGTTTATGTAATTTATTAATAATTTTTTTATGTTCAAGAAATTTTTTCCTTAAATAATCTCTTAATTCTTTTTTCCTTTTTTAAGGTTGTATTAATAAGGAAGGGATATATTTATTTTTTCTAATATCTGTTGGCACTAATTATTCACATTCTTCTTATTTTTTGTTTATTTTTTAAAAGAAAAACCGTTAAAGTACATATCTGATATTTTAAAAAATTTTTTACACTTAATATTGCCTTCCTTTTCACATTTTTTACATTTTGTATTTTTTAATACCTTAACGCGTTTTATATTTTTAGCGTATTTTATTTTTTTTATTTTTAAATTGGGGTTAATAAATCTCTCTATCTTTATTAATAACATTTGGCAAAAATTTTAATTTAAGCTTAACAAAAACAAATAAATAAAAATTTTATATTGCGTGTCTAACGAATATTTTTTGTTTGTAAATAATGCCAAAAAGGCTATCATCAATCTCTTTATTTTTCTAATATTATTTTTGTTTGAATATACATCTTTTTTATTTTTAAATGCTTAAGCTTTTTTTATTTTATTCCGGATGCGTTTTTTAAAAATATTCTGTTTGAAATAATTTTTTAAAACTTTTTTAAAGACACGAAATTATTCATATCTTAAATATTTTCTAAAAAAATTATTTTTATTTGCATATTCTTCGGATTATTCTTATTATTCCTCCTTATATAAAATTCAATTTAACTATATATCTTTTTTAATTCACAAAAAAAGAATTTTTTTTATTAAAAAGCATATAAAAAATTCCTTCTTTGTAATAATAAATTTATATTCTTTATTTAATAAAATTTTATTTTTCTTGTCACCCATAAAAATTTTTTTTTAATAAAAAATGGCTACCACAAAACGAGAACATCGTGAGCCGAATAAATTAAACATCAGAAAAGATTTTTTAGGTTTGTTTTTTTTGAAAAATAATTTTTTAATATTTAAAAAGGAAAAAGTTTTTTCTATTTATTTATTATTTTGTTGCTACTCCCTTTTTTCTAATTTTATTTATTTTTTCTCTTCTACTTGTATATTTATTCTTTTGTTAATTAAATTTTGCAATACTAATTTTAGTTTTATATTTAGTTATTTTCTGCCACCCCCAACTTTTTTTTAAGATTGTGGTTATGGCATTTTCTTTTTTTTATTTTATAAATAAATAATTCTATTTTTGTTGTTTCCATTCTATTTTTTTCTTTTGTCACGAATACTAGGCCAATAAATAAAATAAAAAAAGGGGACACGAAACAAAAAATTTTTTAATTCATTTCTAAAAAAATACATTCTCAACTCATCTTTACATTAAAATTAAAATATATTCTTTCTCTATTATTCTTTTTTTATTTCAAACATTTTTTACTTTTTCTTTAAAAAATCCTCTTGAATTAATAAAATAAAAAATTATTTTCTGGCAAATCCGTAAAAAATGGATAAATTTGGATGTTCAGGTTTTTGAACGTTTTATATTCAAAGCTTAAAAATCAGAAAAAGTTTTTACTAAATAAAAAATTATATTTTTTAAAGATTTGATGAACGATTGGGAGATTGGTGGCACTCAAAACCCTTGGGTCTGTCCAAGTGATAGACATTTACAATTACGTGCTCAGTTAGTTTATTAAAAAATTTCAGAAAATTATTGTATTTTAATTTTTAGACTAAAAAGTGGTTGGAGTGTTCGAACAGCCACTGCTCGCTCACCAACAACTTCCAAACAATCTCTTCTTTCCGCTGGAGGAATTACTGAAGCTGAACAAGAAGTTTGTTTAAATTTTTATTTTTAAATTTAAAATTTAACAAAAAAAATTTGGTCAATTTTTGAGTTGATCTTTTGGGCAACAATTTCTTTTCTTGTCACAAAAAATTTTTTGCTTTTTAGAAAATTAGAAAAGTTTTGGCCCGAGCAGAGCAAGGTCGAATGAATGAGCAGATTAGAATTGGGTTAGAATTTTTTTAATAATTTTTTTATTAGATATTGAAATTTGTGGATTTAACTTGAGGACATTATAGTAATTCATAAAGGTACAAGGCTTTTCAGTGTAGTTTAATGTCCACAAGTTTTGTAAAAAGAATTCTTTAATTTAATTTATTTTTAAGAAAAATGGTTGAAAGGTTAGATCGCCTTCGTTCTAGAGCTGTTGGAAATGGAGTATGTTTTTCTCTTTTTAATTATTTCATATAATTTGTATATTTTTTAGGTAACTCAATGCCTTTTATGCCAAACTGAATTTGGATTATTGGCTGCAAAAAGTTATGCTGCAATGTGTTCAGATTGTCGAAAGGTATTTTTTAATTTTTTTCAGAGTTCTATTTTATAATTTTTTAAGTATGTTTGTCAACGCAATTGTGGAGTTGAAACTTTTGATCAAAAAAGAAAGGAGCCAATATTTCTTTGCAAAATTTGTTCTGAATATAGGGAAGTGGTTAGTTATTTAAATTATTTTTTTTAAATTTAATTTTTTATTTAAATATAAAGATGTGGAAAAAGTCTGGCGCATGGTTTTACAAAGAAGTTCCTTCATTACCCCCAAGTAGGCCTTGTTCTGCTATGGCTGATATTTCAAGTTCACCAATGTTGGGAAATGTCGTGTCAAATAATTGTCAGCAACAACAACAAACTTCATCTTTTATGACTCCAACTTCCTCTATTGGTCAACCAGATAGTCCTACAGCACGTTCTCTTTGTTCTACAGGTCCAACCCCTCGACGACATTTTCCTTTTGGAGGAGGACAGGATTACCGTAAAGGAAGCAAACAACAACAATCACCAATTACTTGTACTGCTATTAGAAGGACAGCAACAAGTGTAGGGGCGACTGAACCTGTTCCAATACCTTCTGAGCATCAGCAAAGGTTTTATTTTTTTAATAAATTGATTTCCATAGCCCCCTCGAACTTCCCATATATTCTGAAAATATTTTTTTATTAAGACTAAAAACAAATCCTCGTCCTCGAATTATTCCTTCATGGGTTCACGATGGTCTTCAACAATCAAGTATTAGTGTAGATGAAGAATCTGATGGAGAATCTGCAAGTTCTTCAACATCATCATCATTAGAACCAGCACAATTTCGAATGTCTTTGGGTGCACAAAAAGAACGTGCAATGGCAGTTAAACAACGAGCTTCAATAAATTCAAATAATTCTTCCTTAAATAATCAACAAAAATTATCAATAACTTCTCAACGAAATTTAACGACAGCAACAATAAAATATGGGAGAAATAATAATAATAGAAGTATTATTGAAAATAATAAAAATATGCAAAGAGTTGTTTTAAGAAGAGGTGGAAGAAATAGAGTTTTGGATTCTGGTAAATTTTTCTGAAAAAAATTTTTGTAATTAATTTTTTTTTAAAAAGATTCTGAAGATCAAGAAGCACTTTCTCGTCGTAGTTCTCCTTCAATTTCACCAAGACATTCATTAGCTACTCCTTCAAGCTATGGTGGTGATGATCTTCCTTTAATGTTGTCTTCAACTGCTGGCGTAACAACAACAGCAATGACAACACAAAATTATATTAATTCGACTTGTTTGCCTCAACATAATAATAATGATGAGAAAACAATGTCAGATTCTCGCAGCGTGGATTCGGGTGGTCAGAATTTGTTGAAATTTTCAAAAATATTTTTTTAATCTGAGCAAAATATAAACTAATATTTTTAACAAATATATTTTTTTGTAGTTGTTCAAAGTGATCATTCTGCCCAACAACATGGATTGGCTGCTTTTGCTGCTTCTGTTTCTTCTAATCCTCCTCCTATTCATCAACAACTAATGTTTTCCTCAAATTTTTCTGAAGAGCCTAATATTAATATTAATTGGCAGCAACAACAACAACTTCCTCCACCGGTTTTTTTAAATTTATTATTTTTAAATTTAAACAAAAAATTTTTAAAGGCAGCAAAATCTCCCTCACCAATTCCTCCACCAATTCCACCAAGAAGTGCAACAATAGCTGCGCCTCCACCAATAATGTCACATCAAATTGTTGGTTCTTCAACATCATCATTTAAACCAATTACAACAAAAAGGCCTTCCTCAGCAAATAATTATGCAATTAATCAAACAACAACTGAAATGGGATTTTCTTCATTAAGTTTAGCTCCTGATTCATCAATTACTACTAGTCGTCGATCAACTCAATCATCAACAGTTCCAACAATTGATAATAATATGCGTTGTCGAGAGGTTTGAAAATTTTTAAATTTTATTTTCACTTGATTTAAAATAAATTTTTTTAAAGGATGCACATTTGGTAGTAGATGGAGGAATGTCTTCAGGAAGACGATCAGATGGTGATTCTTTCGATCGAGATGATTCTCCTGCATTCATGAGTGAACCTGAGGACGATATTAGTTTGTTTTCTTTTATTTTTTAGTTTACATAAAAAGTGTGGGTTATCATATAAGTTAGATTTTGCTGTTTGTTCCTGGATTGGGATGCACTTTTTTTAAAGAATCCATTTTTAATTTCCATTTTAAGTTTTACATTTAGTTCTCTACTTTTTTTCCTTTTTAAAATAAAAATTTATTCTAGGCACTCTAGGATCAATTCAATTGAATTTATTGTATTTATCAGAAGAGAAGCAATTGATTATTCATCTAATTCGTGCTAAGGTTTTTTCTATCTTTTTTTTTAATTTCAAATTTTTTTTAATCTTCAGAATCTAAAAGCAATGGATAAAAATGGTTTTTCTGATCCTTATGTAAAATTTCATTTGTTACCTGGAAATGCAAAAGCAACAAAATTGACTTCAAAGACTATCGAGAAGACTCTAAATCCTGAATGGAATCAAGAATTGATTTACTATGGAATAACTGAAGAAGAAAGATTGAGAAAGGTTTTTATAAATAAAGTTTTCAAAAATTAAGAAAAAATTAGTCTCTTCGTGTAACTGTATTGGATAGAGATCGTATTGGTGCTGATTTTCTTGGTGAAACACGAATTGCTCTTCGAAAACTTCCTTTGGGTGTCACTAAAAAATTTAATTTGTATCTTGAACATGCAATGCCTACACCTGTAAAAAAATTTTTAAATATTTTTTTAATTGAAAAAAATTTTTTTAGTTAGAAAAACCTATTCAAGAAGAACGTGGAAAATTGCTACTTTCTGTTTGTTACAATATTCAACAAGGATCTCTTTTTGTTACTATCAAGCGATGTGTTGAACTTTTGGGAATGGATGCTACAGGTTGTTTACTAAAAATGTTTTATATATTTTATTTTTCATTAAGGTTTCTCCGATCCTTATTGTAAAGTTTCGCTTATACCTTTGGCCTCAAAAGCGCATAGACAAAAGACTGCTATTAAAAAGAGGACGTTAAATCCAGAATTCAATGAAACAATGCAATTTTTGGTCCCTTTCAAGGACTTGCCGAAGAAAACTTTGGATATTGGAGTCTATGATTATGGTATTTTCTTTTTTCTTTAGATTTATATGAAATTTTTGTTTCACCTCCAAAAATTAATTCAAAATTCTAGTCCATTCTCTTATTTTGTAGGGAAGCCAGGGTTTTTTATCCTTAACTTTTAAAGTTTATTTGAGAAATCCAGAGCATAAAAATTATTCAGGAGGGTTAACAAGTAAAAAGTTTCGAAGAAGCCATTTAACGAGGAAGAGAAACGAGGATGCATAATGTCCTTTAATTAATATTATAAATAATAAAATTCCATCAATTTTTAGATATGGGAAGACACGACGACTATATTGGTTTGTTTATGCACAAATGAATTTGAAAAATTTTTTTACAATATTATTAGGTGGAGTTGTTCTTTCAACTGCTGCTACTGGTGAAAGAGGAAGACAATGGCAACAAATAATTGAGAATCCCGGGAAGACTTTGGAATATTGGCATAAATTGGAAACTGATGGATGAAAATAGTTTTTATTTTTATTGTTAATTTTTAGTGCCTTTAATGGAACTATTGCAGGTCCAAGTAGGGGGGGGGGCGATATTATAAGGTTCATTTGTTCTAATTTATTTTTACGTTGATTTTTTAAATCATTTTTTACTGCTGTTAAATAAATTTTAATATTATCTTTAATTGTTATTTTTACATTGTTTATTCGACAAATTATTTTTTTAGCGGGAAGAGAGGAGTTTGTTTTTAAAATATTTAAAGATTAAATAATGTCTGCAATTGGAGCTAAAAAGTCTGGATTGGCTGCTGAGGTACAACAAAGTGTTCACGTCAAATTTGATTCTCAATTTGCTCAACAAATCTTTGGATGGATTTCTTCTGTTACTGGAGAGACGTTGCCATCAAATGGAGATATTAATGAATTTATTTCGACTTTGAAAGATGGAGTTCTGCTTTGCAAGTTTGTTTTAAAGATTTTTGAGTTTATGGTTGTTTTGGGAATATCTAGGTCTGTGTCTCTTAAGTAAGGGGTTCGGATCCCACGTACGAAAATGGGTACACCCCAACTTACCGCGAGCCCAACTCGTCGCAGAGCTATAACTTCGTTCAGAATTGTCGAATCCGGGGCGCCCTGGTATAGTTCGATTCAGCTCGTCGAGACGCATCGAATTATACCAAGGCGTACCGGATTCGACAATTCTGAACGAAGTTATAGCTCTGCGGCAAGTTGGGCTCGCGGTAAGTTAGCCTGCTCCCTACGAAAATATTTTGTATACACAATTTCCCTCTAACTCGAATGTTAAAATTTTCCAATTTCAGGCTTGTGAACGCTCTTTCTCGAAATTCAGACGAGAAAGTCAACAACAGCGTTTTGCCATTTAGATATGCAGCAAATATTGCTTACTTCTTGTCGTTTGTGGGGAATTATGTCGGTAAAAGTATTTTTTAATTTGAGTATTCTTTTTTGATTATTTTATCTTTTAGATGAACTTTTCAAGACGGTTGATTTATATGAGGGGCAAGACCCGAATTCTGTTCTCGTTTGTTTGGCAGCATTGGCACGTAAATCTGAGAAAGTTTTTGGGTAAGATTTGTTAATAACAAGATTAAAATTTATTTTTAAATTTAGAAAGCCTGGACTTGGACCGAAAGAAGCTGGAGGAGGAACTTCTCGTCAACCTAAAGCTGCTGAACCAATTATTGGACTTCAGGCTGGGTCAAGCAAGGGAGCTACTCAGAGTGGAATGGTTTCTGTTTTAATATTAAAAAATGAAATTTGGGTTGGGGAATTTATTTTAGAGAGCTTTTTGGGAATCCCACGGCCATTCAATTTTTCGATTTATCTTAATTTAAGATTTATCATGTTTGGGTGGTTTCCTACTGAAATTTCACCCAAAGATTGAATTGTTTATTTCGATTTTTGATTAACCTTTTTTCTTTTTCAGGAGAAGAAATATAAGCGAGCAAAAGGAAAGGTGGGGAAATTAAATAATATATTCAAATAGAATGTTGAATTTTTAGTATCGCTCCAAAAGTGAAAAGAAGAAAAGAAGGAGTTTTACCGCTTACATAGAAAAGCTGAAAAATGAAGGGCGTCCAAACGCTGAAATAAAGAAGCTGAAAAATGCAGAGAAGAAGAGGAGGGAAGAAGTATGGAAGGCAAAGAAGGAAGAAAAGCGAAGAAATTAAATGATTTACTTTTGTTATTTTTTTTTATTTTTTAATGGAATCTCCATAACGACGTTTATTTGGTCAGCATTTCTGTCTTTGACTCTAAAACGGCTAAAACAATGTCGGTGTATAGAGATCCAATTTATTGACATTCTTGCTCTATTTTTTATTTTTAATTTAGTAGAACAAATTTCCAATTTAAAACTAGAAATCCATAAAGGTTCAAAAACCGTTATATCTTTACCGTTTAACAATATTTGTTTCAGAATTCAAAAATTTGCGCTATTTGGCATAATGCAAACCATTAAGAATAAATGACACTTCATCCCAAAAATCAATAATCGATTTTTAATGGCTCGTCTAGTGTTCTCTGTTGCCATTTATAGCAAAGATGTTCTACAACTTGGAGTGTGGCTTTTCCTTTTTTGGGGTTAACCTTTTTGAGGGGTGGGGAGGAGTAATGACTTGCGGACAAGACTTGCTTTTTCAATTTTTGAAAAATGTATCCAATTTTTAGCAGCAGCAGCAGTAACAACAGCATCAGCAACAACAGCAGCTACAACAACAGCAGCAGCAACAACAAAAAGCACCAGTTTCTCCGGAGATAGCAGGGCAAAAAAGCACCAGTTTCTCCGGAGATAGCAGGGCAAAAAAGCACCAGTTTCTCCGGAGATAGCAGGGCAAAAAAGCACCAGTTTCTCTTAGGAGATAGCCGGGCAAAAAAGCACCAGTTTCTCCGGAGATAGCAGGGCAAAAAAGCACCAGTTTCTCTTAGGAGATAGCCGGGCAAAAAAGCACCATTTCTCCGGAGATAGCAGGGCAAAAAAGCACCAGTTTCTCTTAGGAGATAGCCGGGCAAAAAAGCACCAGTTTCTCTTAGGAGATAGCCGGGCAAAAAAGCACCAGTTTCTCTTAGGAGATAGCCGGGCAAAAAAGCACCAGTTTCTCTTAGGAGATAGCCGGGCAAAAAAGCACCAGTTTCTCTTAGGAGATAGCCGGGCAAAAAAGCACCAGTTTCTCTTAGGAGATAGCCGGGCAAAAAAGCACCAGTTTCTCCTCGGAGATAGCCGGGCAAAAAAGCACCAGTTTCTCTTAGGAGATAGCCGGGCAAAAAAGCACCAGTTTCTCTTAGGAGATAGCCGGGCAAAAAAGCACCAGTTTCTCTTAGGAGATAGCCGGGCAAAAAAGCACCAGTTTCTCCTTGGAGATAGCCGGGCAAAAAAGCACCAGTTTCTCCTCGGAGATAGCCGGGCAAAAACGCACCAGTTTCTCTTAGGAGATAGCTGGGCGATCTTCACTTCGACGATTAAACTCCAATGCTCTCGTCTACATGGTTAGCGTTTTTACTTTATTAAATTCGCAAGTTTTGTCCGCAAGTTTTCTCCTCTAAATAAGTTTATCCTTTCTCAATGTTAAAGCCAATTAAATGGTGGCCAAGTTCTTTTCAAACGAGAAGACGTACAGCAAATGTTCCATTGGTTAGATGCATTGATTTGCTTGTTTTGAATGGTTTATCTTTTTATAGGTTGTTTTTATGTCTAAAGGATTTTTAATTACTTAATTTTCAGCTTTGACAAAGTATCCAGAAGCCTTAAAAATTTTTAAGAGGTTATTTTTAATTATTTACTATGGTTTCAAGATTATTTCTTAGGCCGGTGAATTGTTGCGGAAAGACTCTTTTTGATGAGAATGCTTTAGAAGAACAAGAATCAGCAAAAAAATGACCGAAGAACTGCAATCTTTTGTTAGAATAACAGCAAATTAGGTTTGCAAATTAATTGATTAATTTGATTATTAGGTTTCCATAATTGTTTATATTTTTCAAGTTCTGTCCCTTTTGGAGCTTACTAATTTAAAGAATCTCTGTTATGGGTGTTTAAATCTCCGTCCGGTTGCTTCCCTTGGGTATTGTGACTTGTGGGGAGGTTTTTGTTTGTCTATCCGATTTTGACAAATTATAAGTCATTAGAAAAAGCTCGTCGAGCTGACATGAGTCGATTTGTGATAAATGGTTTGGGCCATCCAATAAGTCAAGGGCGTAGCCAGGGAGCTTCTAGGACTATAGCCCCCCCCCCCCTTGAAATTTGGAAACTGAACTCGGTCCCCTAAACGTCCGTTCGGCCTCTTCCCCCGAGCTATCGAATCAGTTCGCCAAGCTCTCTCGAATAACACCTCATTTATCAAAATCGGGTGTGCCACCAAAAACCCTGTGTCACAACAGGAAAAATTTCGGAATACTAAACAGAAAGCAAATGGGTCGAGCCATATGTCATTATACCGTCACAACATTCTCGACTCAGCTCGTCGAGCTGAGTCGAATGACACCAAAATCAACTCGAGATCTTGATTCTGAGCCGAGATAAACAGGCTCAAAATGGTCAACGTAAACCTATGGAGCGTCGGCAAGTCGCTTATGCAAAACCCCGCGCTTCGCGCGGGGTTTTGCGGCACGCGCCTCGCGGGGAGTCTATGGGCTCTGGGTCTGGGCCCGTAACATAAACCTATTCCTATCTCCCTTACTCTGGACGTACTTGGGGCCTCCGTAGCAGCAAAAACCTCAACAATGACCATAGGTAAGGAGCTAAAACAAACGATCATAACTTTGTCAAATCAAGTCGGATTGATTTAGGTAATTTTGGTGTCATTCGACTCAGCTCGAGGAGCTCTTTCGAATGAGCTATTATTTGCATATTCGAATTTTTCACCCCAAAAAAGTGCTTGGTCCCCCCTATGGTTTTTCGATTTTCGGGGGCCTATATCTCAGCCCCTGTATGAGTCCGCACGAAAATTTTTTCAGAATTCGACTCAACTCGACGAGCTCTTTCGAATGACATATGGCTCGACCCATTTGCTTTCTGTTTAGTATTCCGAAATTATACCGTCACAACATTCTCCAGTTTTTCGTTACTGTCCATTATTCCTTTTTAGACATTTTTTTCACTTTTGGTCTATCGGTATTTTGTTAAGCTTCCCCTTTTCGACTTATCCTTTCCGACTTTTAGACATTCTTTCCTATTTTTCCATTAGTTCTCTTAATTTTCTTTTTAGTACTACACAAGCCTCGTCATCAACTTCAACAACAAATTCCTGGCCTTTTTGTTTCTTTGAAGAAGCGATGGAATTATAAAAGAAGCAAGTGTTGGCATAAAAGAAAAAATTGGATTTATGAACGAATATGGAAACGAAAACATAGTTTTTTTTAATTTTTTTGTTTTTAATTAGATGTAGTCGAATTAACCTAAAAATCTTCGACATTTCTCAAAAATGAAGAAAAATTGACGGTTTATTTTCAAATCTAATTTTGACTATACAATTATCATTTAAATTTTGCTTGTTTTTAACTAAATTGTATAAATAAAGATGAATGTTGTTGTTGTTGAATTACGATTTTTCATTAAACTCTATCGAGGACTTTAAATTGAAGTCGACTTCTAGAAGAATTTAACGTTCCTTTCTTGAATACCCTCATCAAATTCCAAAGAGACCATTTCTCATGTTTCAGACTCTTGTATTCCTTTTTGTATTGAGAACTACTCTTACTCCTTTTTAAAGTAAGTTGGAATGTAGCAAGTAGAGAAAGAAAATGTTTGAGGTAGTTGAGAAGTTGGGATGTAATGTTAAAAATAAATGACACTTTGTCCCAAGAGTTAGAGAAATTCTATAAAATAAATAGTGTAGCTAGAGAAAAAAATAAATATCAAATGTTTAGGACGGTTCAGTGCTGAATTCAGAGAGTGTGAAACTACTGTAATTTGAATAAAATTTTTCATTAAATGTTCCGAATTTAAATAAATTTTTATGTTTGTTAATTTTTGATTTTTCTAGGATGGTAAAATCCTAAGAACTAAATGTGTAGAATATTTCTCCGGATTCTAATTTACAGTTCGGTGGATTGTGTATTTAGACTCGGAAATTTTGAGATGGAACATTTTGGGAGTACAGACCTTTTTGGACCTTCCGGTCTTTTAGTGTACCGGTCTTTTTATTAACCGGTCTTTAATATCTTTTAGCCTTCCGGTCTTTTAAGTACCGGTCTTTTTATTAAACAGTCTTTTAATATATTTTTAGCCTTTCCGGTCTTTTAATGTACCAAAAGTAAACAAACATAAAAATTTATTTAAATTCGGAACATTTAATGAAAAATTTTATTCAAATTACAGTAGTTTCACACTCTCTGAATTCAGCACTGAACCGTCCTAAACATTTGATATTTATTTTTTTCTCTAGCTACACTATTTATTTTATAGAATTTCTCTAACTCTTGGGACAAAGTGTCATTTATTTTTAACATTACATCCCAACTTCTCAACTACCTCAAACATTTTCTTTCTCTACTTGCTACATTCCAACTTACTTTAAAAAGGAGTAAGAGTAGTTCTCAATACAAAAAGGAATACAAGAGTCTGAAGCATGAGAAATGGTCTCTTTGGTATTTGATGAGGGTATTCAAGAAAGGAACGTTAAATTCTTCTAGAAGTCGACTTCAATTTAAAGTCCTCGATAGAGTTTAATGAAAAATCGTAATTCAACAACAACAACATTCATCTTTATTTATACAAGCAAATAAAAATTTGGCCAAAAACAAGCAAAGTTAAAATGATAATTGTATAGTCAAAATTAGAGATTTGAAAATAAACCGTCAATTTTTCTTGATTTTTGAGAGATGTCGAAGATTTTTAGGTTAATTCGACTACATCTAATTAAAAACAAAAAAATTAAAAAAAACTATGTT